CATCATTGTTTTGGTGGGCCCGGGCTGGATTTGAACCCACCACCTTAGGTGTATGTGGCTGGCACCTTAGCCACTTGAGCCACAGGTGCCGAGCCAGTTTTTTCTATTTTTAGTAGAGATGGGGTCTCACTCTTTCTCAGGCTGGTCACAAACTCCTGAGCTCAAGTAATCCTCATGCCTTAGCCTCCTAGAGTTCTAGGATTACAGGTGTGAGCCACTGCACCTAGCCTTGATACGGCTTTTTACAATTAGGATAATGCTCTTGAGATCTATCCAAGTTGTTCTCTGTGTCAATTTGGTAGTTTGTTCCTCTTTATTCCTGAATAGTATTCTATAGGATGAATGTACTGTGGTTTGTTTAACTCTTCATTATTTGTAGGACATTTTGGTTATTTCCAGTTTTTGGTTGTTTTAAATAAAGCTGCAATGAACAATTGTACAGAGGTTTTTGTGTGGAAGTAAGTTTTTATTTCTGTGGGATAAATGCCAGGAGTGTGATTGATAGATTGTACATTAAAAGGGAACTGCCAGATGTGTTCTAGAGTGTCCCATTTTATAGTCCTTCCAGCAAAGCATAAGAGAGTCAGTTTCTCTGCATGTTTGCATTTGATACTTTCACTGTTTTTTTTTCCCCCATTTTATCTGCTCTGAAAGGTGTGCAATACTAGTATGACTTTAAGTTGCATTTTCTTAATGGCTAGTGATGTTGAACATCTTTTCATGAGCTTATTTGCCATCTGTATATCCTCTCTGGCAAAATGCCTGCTTGTGTATTTTGTCCATTTTATAATTGGATTGTTTGGTTTTTCTTACTGTTGAGTTTTGAGAGTTCTTTATAGATTCTAGATACTGGTCTCTTATCAGATAAGTGATTTACAAATATTTTCTCCCAATCTCTAGCTTGTGTTTTCAACCTTTTTAAATGGGCTTTTCCAGAGAAAAGTTTTCAGTTGTGATAAAGACTCCTAAAGTGCTAGGTTTACAGGTGTGGTTGCCTGGCTTATGTGCAGTTTCCTAGGAATTTAAAAGAGGGAGAAAAGTACTTCTAGCTGGGCATGTCCAGGTCAGTTTCATGTTAGAATCTGAGACTGGTTTTGATTTGGATTTGGGTATAGGGAGATGAGAGGTGTGACACTGAGATACAGGTGAAGAAGGCACACAGGCACAGTGGTGAAGAGTAGTGTGCGTCCAGGGGGCTCCTGTTGGGGGGACGAAGAAGAACTGAGATACTGAATAAGGTTGCATCCCTATAGTTCTTTGGTAGAAAGGTCCGTTATTATACCTATTAACCCCCTGTCAAGTAGAGGACCTGTCAAACAGGATCTGTGAAATAGGATGTGTAGACACATGGAAAGACCCATTTGAGCTGTAATGGCCACGCCACTAATCAGGGCTGCCACACACAGATGTGCAGAATATACGCTGGACAAGCACCCTGAGACATTAACAGATGGAGCTTAAACCTAGTCAGGCTCAGCTGGCAGAACTGGTGCAGGTCTGTTTCCATACAGAGGCACCTTTTTTATAATTTCTCAAAGGCACCATGAGGACTCAGATCTTTTTCTTTTTGTTTCTTTTTTTTTTAATTAAAAAAATTATGTATTTATTTAGAGATAGAGGCTCACTGTGTTGCCCAGATGAGAGTGCCACCTCAAACTCTTGGGTTCAAGTGAACCTTCTGCCTCAGCCTCTGGAGTAGTTGGGCTTACAGGTGCCCATGATGACATCTGGCTAATTCATCCTTAGTGTGGTCTTGAACTCCTGAGCTCAAGGGATCCTCATGCTTCAACCTCCCAGACTACTAGGTTTAGAGGCATAAGCTACCATGCCTGGCCTGTTCCTTTTTGTTTCTTAATAATGTTCACATATCATGGCCAAATATTTAGTATCTTACTGTAATATAATTTGCTAAATGATTTCTTTTAACCGTCTGTAGGGACTCTCATTATTTTGAAGATTGGCTCTGTCTCAAACATTTGCAGAAATTGAGGAGGACATGCTAAGTTCCATTTTTGCCTTCTGTTCTCCTTGTCATGAGCATTAGGTTAGATGCTGAGAATCCCTCTACCCTCCTCTATTTCCCTGCACATGAAGATATGGCAACTAAACCACTTAGTGCCTGCCTTCCTGGGTGAGCTGAAATGCATGACTCTCTGGATCCTAGTCCTTGCTGCTTTAGTGGCTGGTGCTTTGTACCCTATTAGGGTTGTCTTGCTCTGTGTCCTGCTACCTGCTGTTACTGCTGAAGTTCCTGAGGCCTTCTCATCCTTCTGATCCTGTTTTGTTACCTCTCTATTCCTTTTTTCCTCATCCTAGTTTGCTTAATTCTGGAAAGGAAGAGATTATTGAGAGAAAGAAAAGGGGTATTACTAATCAACAGAGAGCGGGAGGATAGGATAATGAAGGGAGGAGAATTGGGAATGATGTAGCAGTAAAGGACAGGGAAAAATAATAAAAGCCACATTGCAGTTATAGCTGGGGTGTGGGTGAAACAACCTGGAATTGACATTTCAAGGATGGGGGTGTTTCTAGTACTATCACATCGCCCTCAGTAACAAGGTGATCTTGCTTTCCTTAGGTGTCCTCATGACTCCTCTTGTGGACCATGTCCATGATCTTTTTTGCTTGTGTGGTACGGGTGAGGGATGGACTGCCCCTCTCAGCCTCTACTGACTTTTACCACACCCAGGACTTTTTGGAATGCAGGAGACGGCTCAAGTCATTAGGCTTGCGACTGGCACAGTATCCAGGTCGAGGTTCTGCAGAAGGCCGTGACTTCAGTATACAGTAAGTGAGCATATTCACCTTTATAGAACATCAGCAAAATTTAGGTTACTTCTAACTACATGTTACAGTATTGTTATGCTTATCACATTGTGTGGTAAAAGTGGCATCTGGCAGTGGTCTGAGGTTGTATTTGTAAATAGCAACAGGATAATGGAAGAAGTAGATTTCCGTAGAGCCTCAAGCATTGCTGCTCCAGCTTCTAAGTTCTGTTGGCGGAGTGCTCATGAGTGCAACCAGTTTTTGTGCCTTTAGTTTCATAGTTTTTCTGCACTTAGATGTGGGGGGAAAAGGATGAGAGAGGGAGAAGATACTAGATTAAGATATTAGGGAAGGGCTTGGCACCTATAGCTCAACTGGCTAAGGCGCCAGCCACGTACACCTAAGGTGGCGGGTTC